ATATATATATATTTATTTATTTTATATTTTATTTATTAAAGATATTTTATTTAACGTTTTTTTATAGATACAAGTATTTAAGTAAATTCTCTGTTTATAATAAACAGTATTAACTAACATTTACCGACCTGAATGTCCGAGAAATTTTTATAGAAAATATTCGTCCTTTGACAGGATTCGAACAAAGGACGAAGATTTTCTATGAAAATTTCTCGGACATTCAGACCGGTAAATGTTATTTAATACTGTTTATTATAAACAGAGCATTTACTTAAATACTTGTATCTATAAAGAGAACGTTAAACATAAAAAAGCCTTTAATAAATAAATTGTCGGACTTTGTCCATTTCTTAATATACACACACACACATATATATATGTGTGTGTGTGTGTGTGTGTGTGTGTGTGTGTGTGTGAACATTAGAGCCATCACGCAGCGTCGATAGTCTCCTGTTTCATGCTTAAACACAATAGTCATGTTGTGAAATAGACTGTTGTTGTGGGTGTTGACCTGAAGGTCCACTTCTATATTTAAATACGTCTATCCATGAGATCTAGAACTTTAACTCTTAAATGTACCATACTTTGAAACTATTTTTGACCATTATTACCCCTTAAGTCATTTCAACTTCTTATCGTCAACTTCTAGTCGCCAAAACAATCCTCTTTCTTAGACAGCCTAAGTGCTTTGTTAACTCCAAATCTCAATTTCTTAGCATTTTCCTTTTTAGATTTATGTTCGTTTTTTGTCTGAATGGCCTTTTCTTATGTAGATGTTTAAGTACCACTTAATTCTAATTTTCCTGCCTTTATAATATATTCTTTTCTCTTAGCCATTTATTGTCATGATTTGTTATAACAAACTTTCATGGGTCATCTAAATGTCTAAAAAAAAGTTAACCCCGATTTCCCTTAAATAAATACAGACATTATTTTCGTCCACCTCATCTTAATCCTTGCAGGTCTTTATTCTACTTTTTAACACTTATGCACTGTTCTATACTAGAGACACGTTATAATATACAATTATTTATTTGCACAATTATTAACATGCCCAGTATAGACAAGGGGTTGGCTTGTCGCTTGTTGATATTCATTGTTATCCATAATACTTGGATCTGGTATTGAAGCACCGATTTGAATATGAATACCTATGTCATCAATATATCCATATATATATATATATATATATATATATATATATATATATATATGTGTGTGTGTGTGTGTGTGTGTGTGTGTGCGTGCGTGTCTGTGTGTCTGTGTAATCGGTTGTTTTTTATTCATTTCTACAGTTTTCATCCGATTTCGATGAAATTCCTTTTCTTTGATAGATAATTCTTCAGTTTCGGTTTTGAGTCCAAATTGTTGACGACAATGGCTCTCCACTACTTCCTGTTCACTATATCTCTCAGCAACTTTTTACTATTTACTATCTGTTATTGGATATATATCTTTCATAAAAACTTTAATAAAAATAAATATTTTAAATTATTACAATAATATTATCTATATCTATAACTCTTAAAATGCGTGTGTATATATGTATGTGTGTGGGTTTGTGTGTAGGTGTGTCCATGATCGGATGTTGTTTATGCGTTTCCACAGATTTCATCCGATTTCGATGATTTGTTTTTTTTTTTTTTGTTTAATACATAATTCTTCAGTGCCGATTTTGAGTTCAAATTGGCTGGAAAAAATTACAACCTTGAAGGGGAAAAATTGAAAAAAAAAACCGATGTTTTTACGCTTTGTGCAAAAATCAAAATTCAATTTACTTTTTCATACTTGAAACTGCTGATCAAGGGAGTCAACGGCTGAGGAGAAACGCCACTTCAGCTGCTGCTCTGCGTGAGGCTGAAACAAGATGGAGAACGCAAAAACGGCCATTTTCAGTCAATTTGTTAACGCACCCCCCCACCACCACCACCACCACCACCACAAATTTGAGTATGTGTCTCATTTGCACCCGATTGTTGTTACTTATATTGATTTTCGGTTGGTCTGACTTTAAACTTAAACACCTCCAAATGAACGGCAAAAATTCCCAGTAATGAAACACCCGGTCATAAACGGGTAATACGACAAGTGTAAGGTAATAAAATCAGTTAGAGAAACGGAGGAAATATAGTGATTTTCCAAGCGTAGCTCAGATGTGGCACAAGGCCGAAAGTAAGGGGCACTCAGTGAGGATCGAACTCACTACTTAGTCATAATTGTTCTCGCGAGACAAGCTTGCTAACCATTACACAATTTCGAGGTACCCCTGTCACGGGGAAGATAAGAATTTGATTCTGTACTGGGAAGCTTCCATTCTCATTTATCATCCAATTCTCCGTCTTTTGAGCAGGAGTAGAAGTCTATACATTGTTTCCAGTTCCCCATTATTGTTTCTTTCTTCCGATTTCGATAACTTTTTTTGTTTGATAGATAATTATTCAGTCCCGGTTTTGAGTCCAAATTGACTGGAAAAAATTTCAACATTGAAGGTGAAAAATAAAAAAAAACAGATTTTTTATACTTTGCACAAAAGGCAACATTTAATGTCTGTAAAAAAAACAGCGTACAATCAATTTAGAGAGTTGAAATCTAACGCAAAAAGATTATTAGAATTATAAAAAAATATATTATAAATAAAAATTATAGTATATTATTATGACAGTCCATGGAAGAGGTTACTTCATTGTAAGATTGAGAACGCAAAAACGGCTCTTTTCGCCCCCCTCTTCAAATTGTTACCCCCACCCTATTTGGGGATGTGCCTCAGTTGCACCCAATTGTTGTTACTAAGATTGATTTTCAGTTGGACTGACTTTAAACTTAAACTGCTCCATATGAACAGCAAAAATTCCCAATAATGAAAGACCCGGTCAAAGACGGGTTATTCTGCTAGTATATATATATATATATATATATATATATATATATATATATTTTTTTATATATTTTGGAATCTTAACGTGGTCTGTCTTTTATTCAAACATATCTGCTCTGAATTTTACATTGAGCTCTCTGGATATCATCCTCCTCAGGTCTACCCATACGGATTACCTAAAGTTGCATAAACTAACTATATATATATATATATATATATATATATATATATATATATATATATATAAAAAGTGTACATTGAAGTCAATACTCAGAGGCGACAGGCTGTTTCATGCTGGACGCAATCGTCAGTACGCCTGAAGATTGCGTCCAGCATGAAACAGCCTGTCGCCCCTAAATGTTGACTTTAATGTTCACTTTTATATTTATATTTACATACGCTATATCTCTGATATTGAACACTTTATCCCATAAATATAGCACACATACCTTAAAACTATATTCCTTAAAACTATATTACTTCACATATATATATATATATATATATATATATATATATATATATATATATATATATATATATATATAAAAAAAACCGAGTTACACCCTTGATATATTGTTTACTTTCGAATCCAAATTCAAATTTCAAATATTTTTTTTTATTTCTTTTTATTATTTTCAGTTCTCCTACATTTGAACTTACGAAATTGAGAGATATAAATTAATAGTTAATTTTATATTTTAAATAGGCAAGATATTACAGCCAATTCTGAATCACCATCACGAGAACACGATAGATAACAGTCAGCATCTGCATCTGAAGATTGCATTAACTTAAAGAAACGTCGAGTAGCTTCATCGAAGTTGGATATTTTGTGTGTATATATATATATATATATATATATATATATATATATATATATATATGAATTACATAAAAATTGTAACATAATTTTGTGGGCATATCGCTCCTCACAATATATTCGAAACAAAACGTTTGCTAAAAAAAAACATGTTTATCAAACGTTTTAGTGTTGAAAAGTTCGAGGGAATTTATCCCGAGGAGCGAAATGGCAATAAAAACGGGGTACAATTTAGTTTCATTTTTATGTAAATTATTTCTATGCTCTATAATAGATATATTGAGCACTCTTCTGTGGATCACTTTAAATATTTTAAATTAATAGGATTCAGTTGGGTTATATATATATATATATATATATATATATATATATATATATATATTTTTTGTGTATATATATATATATATATATATATATATATATAAGCGATAATTATTCTTTTTATATGTTTGGTTTACTATGAAGGAAAGTTTTGTATTTTCTATTGTAGTTAGATTTTTTGAGGACTAAAAATGATTAGAAAGAGAAAACCTGATAAGGATCACTAGAAAAAAATCTGAATAAAAAACTTAAAATTATTCCTTGCCCGTCAAATTCAATAATATATATATATATATATATATATATATATATATATATATATATATATATATATATATATATATAAAACTCAACTACTGTTATATACATTCGATAGTTCAAGGAGAACTTGGCATCGATTTTCGTTTCAGAAAACCATCATGGTAATCTAGTGAATTGCAAAATTTTCAGGAATAGACTTTCATAAAAAAAAAAAAATATTGTTCAAGGACTTGTTACCAGATAGGGCATGAAACCTAAAATCGAATATTTTTTCGTTTTATTTATTTATTTACAAAAAAAAAAACAAAAAAAAACTTCTTTTTTTCTCATTTCTGACTGACATATTTTTTTATTTTTCATTTATCATTTCGTACTCTTTCCCCCTTTGTACACTAAAGATACGCCAGCCGGCTTTGTTGCAAGCATAAAATATTCGTTCTTTCTCTCTTTTTCTCGTTGTTTCACAGACTCGCGTTTTCTTCCAAAAATTTTTTACATCTTCCACAAAGATTTACATTTTTGCAGGAAATCAATATCATTTTTGTTACTGTTTCGTTCTTTGTCCTGTTTCGTTTTTGCTGTTTACTCCTGGACTTTTCTAAAACCTATGTCTTCATTTTAAACGCAGATCAAAATCAAAACGTTTCCTTTAATCAGCAAATAGTTTTACGACTACAACAGTCTAATCCCTCTCGCTCTAATTATGAAATTTTATAAAATATGTTCCCACGGGAACAGATCACTCTCTCTCTCTTTCTATCTCCCCATCTCTCTCTCTCTCTCTCTCTCCCTGTGACCATACCATCGTGTCGGCAAAAAATGGAGTTTCAAAGACAGTTTTTCCATGACATCGCTTTTATTTTAATTACCTTCACTCTTCAGTAATGTTTGTTTTCAAAAGTGATAATGTAATAAAATCAAACATATAAAAGTAAATTTATATTATTTTTATTCAAGTTCTCAGTATTTCTTTTAAAAATGATAAACATTGCCGAAGAATGAACGAAAACAGTTCTTTTGACAGTTCGTTTTTTTTTTTTGCGAGCATGTAGAATAATAAAAAGCAAGTGTAGAATAATAAAAAGCAAGTGTAGAATAATAAAAAGTGTAGAATAATGAATAACAGAAAGTCTTCAATAATCCCGCCAATATCGACGACATTTTCATACTAGAAAAAAGACAAAACAAAATAAAAAAAACATCGACAATAATTTCGTACTTCAATTATGAACTCAATAATAATAATCTGATCAATTATCGACATTTTAAATGACGTTAAAAGTCATAATATTAATACTCACAAAAAAAACATTATTTTATAAAGAATCAAGCAATATTAAACAAACGCTTCTAAACTATAACATTCTTAACGATATCTTTGACAAACAAATAAAATCAACCTTAATGAAATTTAGAAAATTATCCCAAGCTGATATAAATAAAAATAACCATGTTATTCCGTTATTAACCATTACATGATATCTGTTCTCCTGTATAGCAGTGAATGAAGCAACTTGAGCGCACATAACCCAGTGGGTAACGACTTTGGTTAGATCCAGCGACTCGACCCAAGCAGTTGTGAGATCAATACCAGGCTACAGCAATGACGAACCAAAAACATTGGTTAAACTGAGACATTAGGAAGAGGAATGGCACGTGGAACTGGAACAATCTAACCCGGTGGACGAAATGAAGATTCCAATCACTTGAAGGCGGCCGGGGAGTACAATGGCCGAAACGTTGTGAATATGCCAATTAAGATGAGGATAATAGTCCGAATAATGTAAATAATGCAAGTAATCATAATACCTCATGTCAGAGATATTGACAGATATTAAGAAAAAAATTCCAATCATCTAAGGAAGACTGGATCGTAGAAAGGCCGAAACGTTATGAATATGGCAATGAAGATAAAAGATAATAGAGAATAATGTAAATAATGCAAGAATCATTTCTATGTTTTTACACCTGTGGTTTGAGTGAAATTATTGTTTTTTTATGCTGCTGCTTTAGCATTATTATTTATGAAGCGCCTCGTTCTGAAAATTTGGAATAACCTGACAGCAAGGTGAATCAATTTGCATCGCTCAAATTGGACTTTGTAAATCGTTGATTAAATATTCGCGAGACAAATACTAAAGATCATAGCCCAAAGGCAGAAGACGAAAAAGATTGACGGCACGACGATTTGAAAGAATAAGTTTAAAAGAAAAAATCATTTGAATTGCTAAATGAGAGAATAAATCAATATATTTACAGTACTGGATAGATAACCAAGAAAATGGTTTGAAATGATTATTTTATTAAATATTAAACAATTAACCTAAAGTGGAAAGAAAGCATTAGCCTCATCAGTAAAAGTGCCAGATATATAACAGGAAATTATCTGGAACTTGTTGATATCAATATTTACGTGAAAGCACAGACTTAGCCGGAAAAAACCTACGTAATGAAATTATATATATATATATATATATATATATATATATATATATATATATATATATATATATATATATATTACGTTGGTGCAAAAAATAATGTCGTTTTCTCACATATGTTACGTTTTATATATGATTTCTGAATTAATTCATTGATATATATAGCCATGTTATATATCATTTTGAAGCGAGTTTTTCGCTCTATCAAATCGTGTTATTTGTTACCGTTCTCAATCTCTTCATTCATTTTTTGCAGGCTTTTTGACAGCATGGACAAAATTCAAATCCGCACGATTTTCTTGTTCCAGTTCAAACTAGGCCGAAAAGCTGCCGAGACAGCTTGTGATATCAATGATGCGTTTGGCCCAGGAACCACTAACGAACATGTGGCACAACGGTGGTTCAAGAAATTTCGCAATGGTGACGAGAGCCTCGAAGACGAAGACGGTCGCAGCCGGCCGACTGCGGTTGATAACGAACATTTGAAAGCCTTAATTGAAGCCGATCCTCGCAAAACCACACGAGAAGTTGCTGTTGAACTCGAGGTCGACCACTCAACAGTCGTTCGCCATTTAAAGCAAATAGAGAAGTAAAAAAGTTGGATAAATGGGTGCCGCATGAATTGAACGATAATCAAAAAAATCGTCGTTTTGAGGTGTCTTCTACGCTCCTTCTGCGCAACAAAAACGACCCATTTCTCGAGCGGATTGTGACGTGTGATGAGAAGTGAATCCTCTACAACAACCGGCGACGTTCGGCACAGTGGTTGGATGCCGGAGAAGCTCCACAACACTTCCCGAAACCGAAATTGCACCAAAAAAAGGTTATGGTGACTGTTTGGTGGTCTGCTTCTTGAATCCGGGCGAAACGATTACGGCGGAGAAGGACTGCCGACAAATTGATGAAATGTACCAGAAGCTCCAACGTATGTGCCCGAAATTGGTCAATATGAAGGGACCAATTCTCCTCCATGACAACGCTCGCCCGCATGTTGCTCAACTGACCCTGCAGAAGCTGAACGAATTGGGCTACGAGACTCTGCCTCATCCGCCATATTCACCGGACCTCTCGCCCACCGATTATTACTTTTTCATGCATCTCGACAACTTCCTGCGCGAAAAATGCCTCAAAAGCTGAGATGATGCCGAATCGGCCTTCGATGACTTCATCACTCCCAGAACTCCGGATTTCTATGCTAATGGGATAAATAAACTTGTTTCTCGTTGGCAAAAATGTGTCGATTCTAATGGTTCTTATTTCGATTAATAAAGTTTATTATGAAAGGAGTTATGATCTTTTGAAGTTGAACGTCAAAAACGATATTATTTTGCACCAACTAATATATATATATATATATATATATATATATATATATATATATATATATATATATCCTGTTGGCAGAGGTTGCAAATATTATTGTGGTTGTTGTAAGGCTTTGCCTTTTTTTAAATAAATTTTCCAGTTTACAATCGGATCCCGACTGCTATTCTTTTAAATTCCATACATGGTTAGTTAGTTTGGGTTGTACCATTTTCGTTTGAAAGTATATTTAGTACATCTTATGTAAGTTTTATTCTGACCATTAATATCTATTATTTCTGCTTTATAGATTGTTGCTATGGTTTTACAAGCACTATATAATAGACATCTCTTTTTCTGTCTACAGTTGCACAAATTACTAAGGTTATTTATATGTTGCTTACGTTAGTTTTGAAATTTCCGGCGTTTTGTCTATTTATCATTGTTTCTAAATCACTATTTTACCTGTAGCTTAATTTAACCGTGTTTTTATTAAATATCCTATGTAAGTAATTTGAATATATTTATATATATGTTGAGAAATAATTGATTTCTTATTTATTAATCCGATATATTTTTAACACTTCATAAGTTACTTTAGTGGATGCCCATATTTCAGTAGGCGTTCCGTTTATATTAAACAGTACTTTTTTTCGTCTACCGGCCTGAATATTCGAGAAATCTTATCAAAGAAAAATGTGCTTATGCTGTTAAGATTAAGTAAGGAATCCTGACTGGACTTTTAATTCTCTTAGAATTGTCTCATAGTACAGGTTGAATAAGTCCGATGAGAAGGTACATCCTTGTCTTAAACCCCATTCTATTTTGTATACGTATTTTTATATTATTCTAATATCTTTCTCCAATATGTCAACGTTATTTAGCAGTAGTGCAACCAATACATTATTTATATTGAACAACAGAGATAATGTGTTAAAAATATTTTCATGGTAATTGTTCTAATAGACTTTCCGCTATGCTATATAGAATTTACGCGCAGTACTAGATTGGCGGCAAGGTCTCATCATTTTACAGTGGTATTGGCTCAATGTAAACGTAAGTTCTATGCTGATAGTTTCTTCTCTTGCCTTTCTCGCTTGTGGAACTCTCTCTATCAAAAATTTAAATGCAATGTCAATAGTTCTCTTTTGTCTCCTTAATTCCAGTTCTTTTATTATACTCTCCCCATTATAATATTATTTCCTCATATTCTTTTACACTTAGCAACCCTTTGTCTTCAGTAGCTTTATTGTCGTGTTTGGGATAAAAATGATTAAAAAAATATATATCACATAATACATATATATATATATATATATATATATATATATATATATATATATATATATATATGTATGTATGTATGTATGTATGTATGTATATAATACCAATTTATGACTGGTAGGGATAATTCCAAAAGGATGTTAATCCAAAGAGACCTCGTGTAAATCTAAATTACAGAGCGTTATAATAAATAAAGTAAAGTATACATATATAAAAGAAATATAGTCTTAAGGTGTGCTATATTTATGGGATAAAGTGGTCAATATCAGAGATAGAGCGTGTGTAAATATAAAAGTGAACATAGAAGGCACTTAGAGGCGACAGTCTGTTTCATGAAATATGCAATCGTCGCCCACATGCGGCCTGACGATTGCATATAGCATAAAATGTCGCCTCTAAGTGTTGACTGAATGTTTTATAAGTAGACATATATATATATATATTCATATACATAAATTCCCAGGAGGATAGAATCCAGGTAGAACTCAATGTCCATGACAGAGTAAGAATATAATATAAAAGGTTCAAACACTAATATTCCATGGTTATAATTTATTACATTGGAATAGTAATCACGATCCAATTAATCAGACATCCAAATTCAAAAAGATTTTCTAAATTCTTTTTGAATTTGATCGTGATTACGATTCCAATGTAATAAATTATAACCATGGAATATTAGTATTTGAATTTTTTATATTATTTTATATTATATATTAAAAACCTTATATATATATATATATATATATATATATATATATATATATATCTATATATATAT